GGAAAAGCTCAGCATCTGTGGAGAGAAATCAGAGTTAACATTTTGGGGTCCAGTGACTCTTCCTCAGATCTGTTGACAGTTAGGCAATTGTTGGTTTTTATGCAGAAGAGTGGGTGCGCGGAGGGGGTAAGGAGTGAGGTGGAGATAGAAGAACAGTTGGACTGTCGACTGGTGTCCTACTAGAATTGCTGTGAAAGTCCAAAGGAGCAGCCCAGTCTGTAGGCAAGTGATCTGGTGGTATGTCAACAAGAGCCCTGATTTAACCAGTTGGGAATATAGAGAGGGTACTACAGGAGAATGATCAAATTAAGATGGTATTATGGGACTGAAGGGCACCTTTCTCAGCACAAAGGCAGTCAAGGTCAGTGCTTTATACATCCTTAAAGGATGGAGGAGCAGGCATAGAGAAGTGACCATCTTAAGAGGTTTCCTAGGTGAGACTTCTACAAAGAAGCAAGCTATTTGTTAATGTCACTTGGCATCTTGAAGAAGGGTCCCGACACGAAACGTCAGCTTTCCTGCTCCTCTGATGCTGCCTGGCCTGCTGTTTTCCTCCAACTGCCCTTGGTGTTATCTTTTTTAAGACTCCCCTGTGTTGACTACAATAGCAACTGAATAACCTAACACAGCTAAATCTGTCCTTTTTTATATAAGACTCACCATTAACTCCAAATATACATAGTTACAACTAGAGTCTCCTGTTTAGGGCAATTCTTCTTTTGGGTGAACGTTATTAAAACAAGCAATAGTCACACAAAGGTAGCAGCCCGGGACTGAGTTCAGTAAGATGCTTAAGTCTTAGAATTTGGTGAGAGAGAAATTCGGTGCAGCCAGAGAGGTGGTGCTACTCTACTTTTTATAAGAAGGAATGGCCCAAGAGAGGAAGTCAGAGACAGTGAGACCAGTGAAGTGACACCCAAAGTCTTTAATTAGGTGAGCAAGGTGGTGATTAGACCAGTACAGGAAAGATGCAAGTGTTGTTTTAAATTTATAAGCATTAACTAGCTAAACTCCATAATACTACACAGTTAATTGCTATATTTTAAACTTAAAATCTACTTAAATAAAACGTGAAGATGATACAATAGGTGGCATGTTGCAGTTATGGCAGGCGGGAGGTGACAGACACCTGAGAGATCCAGGGAAAAACATCTGCACCAAGTGTCAGCTGTAGATTAAACTGAAGTTTAGAGTTGTTAAAGCTGGAGTCCAAGCTTCAGACTCTGAAGCATCAAGAAAGGGACAAGTTATCTGGGCATTTGTTCCAGGAGACATTTATTCCTTTAGGCTAGGTATTTCAGATTTAGACAATGGTCAGAGACAAGAGGGAGTTATTGAGAAAGAGGCAATTATTAGGATCCAGAAGGTCAGCATCCATGTGTTTTTCGTTTTTGCCAGAGGGGTGGGGACCATGCAAGCAAGCGGAGAGGGAGCACATTCAAGTGGATGGGAATTAACCTGCATCAAAGGGTCCTAAAAGAAGTGGCTACAAAAGATAGCATTTTCTTAGTTTATAATCTTCCATAATTCTTAGGATTGTGTATGAGTACCAGAGGATTGGAAGAGAATGTAACACTTTGTTCAAGAAAGGAGGGGAACAAGACGCAGGAAACTGTACGCCTAGTTAGTTGCTTAACATGTGTCATCGGAAAATTGCTAGATTCCATTATCGAGAAGGTTCTAGAAACATATTTCAAAAATTGTAATGCGATCAGGTAGAGTCAAGATAGCTTTACGTGAGGGAAATAGTACTTATTTATTTGAGACTTTTGTTTAAAAAAAGATTATTAACAAGTAAAGTGGATAAAAGGAGAACCAGCAAATGTAGTGTACTGTATTGCCAAAGAAATTAGCTAAGTTACCATATCAAACATTATCTACACAAGAACACGTGGTGTGAAATACTGGCATGGATAGAGTATCAGTTAGCTAACAGGAAGCCTCGGTGCCATGGGTTAGTTGGTTAATGCGCCCACCTAGTAAACAGAAGATCCTGGATTCAAATCCTAGTGGCGCCTGTGCTTTACGTCCACCATTCCTTGTTTAAAACTTCTCTGAACTACCATGTTGGGGCAGCGCGGTGGCTCAGTGGTTAGCACTGCTGCCTCACAGCACCAGGGACCTGGGTTCAATTCTACCCTCTGGCGACCGTCTGTGCGGAGTTTGCACATTCTCCCCGTGTCTGCGAGGGTTTCCTCCGGTTTTCTCCCACAGTCCAAAGATGCAGGCTAAGTAGATGGGCCATGCTAAGTTGCTCGTACTGTCCAGGGATGTGTAGACTAGGGAGGTTATAGGGGGATGGGTCTGGGTGGGATGCTCTGATAGTCGGTGTGGACTTGCTGGGCTGAAGGGCCTGTTTCCACACTGTAGGTATTCTATTCTATGACAACAGGCAGCAGTGATAAATGGGTCTTTTTCAGATTGGCCAGTATCTAGTGGATTCCAGCAGGATCAGTTCTAGCCTCAATTATTCACAAGCTCTCTCAGTGACTTGGATGAAGAGACCGAACATATCATAGCTAAAGTTGCCGATGACAATAGGTTAGGTAGACAAATAAGTTGAAGAGGACATGAGGAGTATGGAAAGGGATACAAGACAGTTTAAAAAGTAGGAAAAAAATTGAGAAATAATGTCTAATGTGGTAAAAATGAAATTGTCCATTTTAACTGAAAGAACAGAAAAGCAGTACCGAGAGTGAACTCAGTGCAAAAGAGGAACTTGGAGGTCCTGATACATGGATCGTTAGGTTGGTATGTTGGTACAGAAAATGATTAGGAAGGGAAATGGAATGTCGTTTATTGCATGGGGAATAGAATATAAACGTAGAGATGTTTTGCTACAGTTGTACACTGCGTTGGAGAAACCTCATCTGAAGCACAGTGTACAGTTTGGTCTCCTGAACTGAAAGAGGCTATAATTACATTAGATCGGTTCAGAGAAGATTCATTTAACTGATACCTGGGAATGAGAGCTCTTCTTATGTGGAAAGGTTGAACAAGTTGGAGTTTTACCCATTGGAATTTATAAGCAATCTTATGAAACATTTAAGATCCTGAGAGGACTCTATATGGGAAATGCCACGAGAATATTGCTCGAGGGGGGAGATTAAAGCTAGGGGAACAATTAATGACTGAGAGGTCATCTTTTAAATGCAGAGATAGGACAAAACATTTTTGACAGGATTGTTAATGTCGGTTAAGTATTTCTCCCAAAAAACAGTGAAGTTTAGGTCACTGAATGCATTTAAGGCAGAGTTAGATGGATTTTTGACAGACAAGGGAGTTATACATTAACCAGGGGGCAGATAGGAAAGTCGAGTTGAAATCGTGGCCAGATCAGCTATAACTATGTTAGTTAGCAAAGCAGGCTCAATCCAGGAGATACAATTTAAGGAGGCTCCATTTTCCAATAGAGGAGGACCACCTTCTTCTCTCAGTGGTCATTTTTCTATGGAATTCTCTCTCCCCCAGAGGGCAGGAGAGACTGGGTCATTGAATATATTCAAGGGCAAGTTAAGATAATTTTTTGATCAACAAGTGAGTGTGAAGGGCTATGGGAAAAAGGCAGGAAAGCAGAATTAGTCATTGTCAGATTATCCACGATCTTATCAAATAGCAGAACAAAGATATGAGGCTGCAAAGGCATTTAGATACGTGTTTAAGCATGTGGGCAAAGATCTGGCAAATGGAGTATTGGGGGGAAATGTGAAATTGCGCACTTTGGTACGAAGTTTTAAAAAAGCATATTATCTAAATGGTGACATTGAGGTTTCCGAGATGCAGAGGAATCTCAGAATCCAAATACATGAATTGCAAAAGATTATTATTCAGATACAGCAAGTAACCGGAAACTTAATAGAATGTTATTGATCATTGCAAGCGGAATTGAATACAAAAGAAGGGAAATTATTTTCAGGTTATATAGGTCATTGGTGAGATCATTTCTGGAGTACTGGTCTCCCAAGTTAAGGGAGAATGCAAATCCATTCAAAACAGTTCAGACAAGGTTTACTAGGCTAACATCTGGAATGCGCAAGTTATCTTTGGAGGAAACACTGGAGGCTAGATTTGTATCCGTTGGAGATGAGGACAGTAAGATGTGATTTAATTCTGGCATTAAAAATAGCCCTTCACACTCACTTCCTGATGGGGCCTAACAGGATGGATGTAAAGAGGCTTTTTTAAATTTGTGGAAGAAATTTAAGGTGTCTACCATTTAAGACAGAGATGAGGCAACATGTTTTCTCTCATGCGGTTAGAAATCTTTGGAATTCTCTCCCGCAAAAGGCAGTGGAAGCAGAGTCATTGAATTCTTTTATGGCAGTGATGGATAGATTGTCAGCAAGCAAAGGGGTAAAAGGGTACAGGAATAGGTGGGAATGCGAATCACCAAGCCACTTAAATTGTCTGTACAAATTACTGGTGCAAAACTATTTAAGTTGGGTTAAGTAATTAAATCCCAGCAAACCCCATTTTAATAGAGACCAAGCAAAATACCTTGATTTCACTATCATTTGCAAAGTTTCCCAGAGCCATCATGATCTTTGGCACAGCAGTAGCAAGTGTCTCCTGCACTGACTCTTCTGACCGCTTGCTGATCCGAGCCAGACAGGGAAGAAGGTTCACAAGGTATGGCCTAGATGAGAATGGGAAGGGGGGTTGGGGAAAATAAAGCAACTGTAATCACTAAAGACAGTAGGAAACTATTGAGAAGGAGTTCTAACATATCAGATTTTAAAACTTACCAGCTCTACAACATATACCTAGACAATTAAACAGTTTTCTGCAATTTCTTTGACAATCAGCATTAACATTTATCATCATCATCTTGTTGAAGATGCTGTTCAGAAGAAAATACTCACGCTTTGACATTCAAAATGGTCTGGCCTATTTGGTTACCTATTTAGACCTGGTGCCTTGCACAAACATCAGAGTTTGGCATGATAAGAAACATAGGAAAATAGAGGGGCTCTGATATACAACACCATGAAGTGGATGAATGAGAGTTGACTTTATTATGTGACCCTTCCTAATCCCAGCTGCCATGCTGCAGTAGGTGCCAAAGGAAAACAAGAAATTCCATTGAAAAATTCAAAGAAGAGGGAAGACAACACAAAGTACTAAAAGTACTAAATAAAAACAACCTCGGCTAAGCCCTTCTACTGACTAGATGCTGTGGCAGTTCTTCATTTTCAGGCACAGAACCCTCACAGATCTGAAGGATTAACAATGGATGGAATAGGATAAAATATCGAATTGGATGTGCTCACAAAGGCTTGAAGTTAATCACTATACTCGTTTTCATGAACAATTTTGCATCACACTACAGATGCTTTAAACATCATTAGAGTTTACAAGTTATTTTGGAGATGTTGAATTCAACTGTAAATAAGTGCTAAATTGATGGACAGACTTGAATTTCAGGTATTGTAGGTTTCCGGATAATATAAAATTCAGTTTGCTCACCCTAACAATCTCAGTCATGTGTTCAGCCTAATGGAATGATCATCTCATGCTAAATAAACTAAACATTTTAAAAACACCCAGATTAAGTTTGATTTAACAGAAAGGCAACAGCGATCTGGAATAGTTTTCTAGCCTGAAGACAGCAGAACCCAACTAAACAAAATATACACACACAGAACTGACCTACACTTCTGCGGACGAACAAGGTGAGCCAGCTCAGCAAATCGCCAAAGTGCAGCCCGTAAACTCCTTGGTGGGCCATTCTGTGCAACGAAGGGAAAAAGAACAATTGCTCAGTCAGCACATGATTGTGTGTTGGAAACAGAAAACGAACCCCTCCCAAAACAGAGAACTCAACCATCGGCAAGACCAGTAGCCAGGGTACCAACAGAAATTCCCATTTCTAAGGTCCCCACCATTCTGCCAGATACACATCACCAATATTTCATAATCACAGGGTTTAAATTTTGAAACCTGTATTGAACACAATATGGAAGCACCATTATCAAACAGGCTGTAGCAGTTATGAACGTGACCCACTATCATCTTCTGAAAAACAACCATGGCCTCTGACTCTGAATGCTTCCTTTTTGGTACTGGCCAGGCCAGCAATGTTCATATCCCAGAATACTTTTTTTTTTAAATTTCCAACTACAAAAACTTTGAGGAGCCCAGTTAAGATATGTCATGTCAATTTAGTTAACTAGAAAATGCAGTCACCATACATTATTATCCTTGAGCTCTGAGCGCAAAAATCTAGGTTATATTCCCAGGCAGTGCTGAGAAATTTACCACACTATCAGAGTTGCCACCTTTCAGATATGACACTAAAACAGATGCCCCACCTATCTGCTCAGGTAGGCCTACTGGATTCCAGAGTATTATTTTAAAGAGGAATAGGGGAGTTGTTTCAGCTTAGGCAAATAATCATCTCTCAATGAATATCATTAAAACAGATTATCTGCTTTCCCACTCTCTAACTGCTGCTCAAAAGAGCTTACTGTGTTCAAATTGACTGCTGCATTTCCCACATTATAATGATGAACAAAAAGTACTTCTGCTGAGTAAAGCGCTCTAGGATGCTCCAAGTTCCTAACTGGCTCTCTCAAGTACTAGCCCAACTAACATCATTCACGAGGAATAATTTTGTTTTGAACTCCAAATTACAAGAGCTTGTAATACATCATAGCTCATGTACTAACTGGAAAATAGTTACAATACATCATTATCCCTATTTTTCAATTCAGCATGTCAATACAGCATCATCTCAACTTCCCCAAATAAAATTGCTCCAAATCCCCACCACCTCAATTTCAATGCTACTCAGCTTTAAACTATATAGCACATATGTTCCAATTTCACTCCCTAATAATAGGAGTTAAATTTAACCACATTGATAACGAATACACCCAATTCATTTTGACTCAGTACCTGAGGAATCCTAATACAGTCAAACAACACCTCTAATATTTCCAGCTGTGCATTAGGGCAAATGCTGTCATAATCCTAGCTGACATTACTATCGGACAAGTTAAATCCTGGAATGAGATCTGGCTCGATAAGTTAGTAAACACAAAATATGATTTAACATTATGTTTCACTGAAACATAAAAGAACCAGCAGTTGCAGATTTGTTCTTCATAATCAAACAGAAGTCTTTTGCACAGAACAAATTTTAACAAAGATAAACTAGGCTGTGTAAATATAAACAGTTTGAAAGATTTCAAAACACACAGCACTTTACAGTTAACCCAACTCCAGGGAAATGTTCTTTCCCTATCAAAATGGCAGGTTGACTGAACTGCTTCTTCTCAATTCCTGTCCTGTGAGCTGCAATGTTTCCTCCCTTGCAAACATACACAATTCAGCTTAGATGTCCTCAGTCTTATAATAACTAGTGCAGGTTTCTAACCAAATTCTCCTAGTCTGGAGGTTTACACAAACTGAAACACTTAACAGCTCCAAACCACGTCCTTTTCTAGGAGAGACTACACTAGTCAGACCACATTCAAACTCCCCTCAAAAGGATTTTTTAAAACTATTGAGAAAAAGTACTCATCCTAGACTCTGACAAGTTAATGGCTTAATGTTTTCTCTCTTGCTATAAACCAACACAATGTAAATACTCCAGGATTCTTGCAGACTTGCTCTCTGACACACACCGATTTTAAATCATGGTTGCAGAAAGACTGAGCTAATTAACTTGTAAACCTTTTTCACAAAATTAAAACCAACACCTATATGCCACCAGGTTAAAATCCCAACTTTAAAAAAATTAACATATATAAATCACACACCTTGCATCACACCGACTGCAACATTTGTTAATATTAAAATGCAAACAAGCATGGATGGCAAGAACTTAACACTTACACTAACTAAAGACCAATACTCATCGCTAAAATTAACACGCAAGAGAGAGTGTGTTAGTCAGCTCTATAAATCACAAAGATGCACTAGTTAGTAATTAAAACACAGATATTCAAACATTCTTTAAAATCTGACTATGCATTCCACTCCCAAAACTATCTGTGTGAAGCCTAATTTAAAAACATCCCATAGACAATACATAATTACAGCAAACTCACCAACAAAAGCTTGCTGCATGTAATTATTTCTTAGATGCATTTACTGGAAACATTCCTCTAATCATTTACTAACCTTTTTAATTTCTTTATACAATTCTAGTTGTAACCGAGGCAGATTTGAGTCAGTTAAGGCCTGCTAAAACAAAAAAAAAGGTCATGAATCATTCATGTATAGTTCAATAATTTCCACTTGGCATAATTTTGCCTTGCAGGAAACAAATTTCAACATATTGGCATCAGTAATATACAGCATTGTTAAGACTGTAGCTGGAGAAAGAACATAAATGTGTTGGAGAAGGTTCAGAGGAGGTTTACTAGATAAATAACTGGAATGAGTGGGTAGTCTTATGAGAAAAGGTTATACAGGCTAGGCTTGATTTCACTTCAGTTTAGAAATGGGGAGGTGATGGTCTAGTGGTTTTATTGCTGGACTGTTAGTCTGGAGACCCAGATAATGTTATGGGGACCCTGGTTCAAATCTTGCCATGGCAGACTCGAATTCAATAAATATCTGGAATTATAAATCTAATGATGAACATGAATCCATTGCCAATCAGTGGAAAAAACCATCTAGTTCACCAATGTCCTTTAGGGAAGGGAACTGCCATCCTTTACCTGGGTTAGCTAAATGTGTCTCCAGACCCACAGCAATGTGGTTGCTCTTAACTGCCCTCTGGGTAATTAGGGATGGGCAATAAATGCTGCCTCGCCTCATCCCGTGAATGAATAAAGGAAAAAAAAAAGTGATGACTAAAGGGTACAAGATCCTGAATGGTCTTGACAAGGCTGATGTGGAAAGGATATTCCCTCTTTTGGCGAGTCCAGAACTAAGGGGCACTGTTTAAAAATTAGTGATCACCTTTTTAGGACAGAAATGAGGGAAAGAAAATCTCTCAAAGTCCTTCTATCTCAGAAGGTATTGGAGGCAGGATTATTGAATTATTTTAATGCATATGTGTATTGTTGTTCGGAAAAAAAAAAGAATCAAGTTAAGTGGGAATGTGGAATGTGGAATGTGGAATCTGAAACACAAACAGATCAGATATAATCTTGTCAAATGGCAAGGTGGAGCCGACAAGACGAAGGACCTACTATTACACCTAGTTCATATATAAAATAAGGCTTTGAAGTATAATTTTCCACACTCATTGCTTCACTTGCTCCACCCCATGCCCTTCGTGCTTTTAAAGAAGTCTCTTTCACAATACCTATCTAATTTATTTGTCCCTGAATTTCTTTAATTTTGCCTTCTTCCCAAAATCCTTAGCCTTTTACAAACACCTGGATTGGAGTCATGATTATGCAATCGTAAGGCAATTCTCTCTTTCAGTCTCTACAAAGGTGAGGCCTTAGACAGGACACTTTGACCATGTATCTTGGTTGTCAATTTCAATAAAGGACATACTGTCCTGGATGATACCCGCTGCAATGTACATCACAGGTGTACGACCATCCCACTACTTTGTTCAATAGGTTCTGAAAGTAGACTGTTAGGTTGCCAAACAATAGAAACTATTCATTTTCTTATTACTGTACACAAGCAACTCAGTATCATAGCAGTGGGTAGATTTGTTAAAATCTCAGCTGGGAAACCTCCATTTTGCTGTCAAACTTTCTTTGCTTTGGGCTATTTTTGATGGACATCACTGCTTAACTCAGGGATGTCAGTGCTGTGAATTCTGATTTCTCTTACTTGCCCCCCTTCCTTGTGCAAGTACAGGAACACAATCAAATTCATGTTGAAGTCTCCTGCTTGACAGAGACTAACTATTGGGATACTGCTCTGGTTGAGATGTCTAACTTACCTTAATAATTTTATTTAAACATTCATCTGCTACCATTCGGACATCAGACTCCGCGTCATCACAGCACAGCAGAAACATTTCCATAGCAATCCCCAATAACTTCTGAAATTCTGGTGAGTTTCTGAAAAAAGAAATGCAAGCAGGTATTGCTAGGTGAAAAGGTTTGCATTTGTCCATAAATTCAGCACTGCAAATCATTTTGCTCCAGCTGTTCTCTAGCCATAGCAGATAAGAGTAAACAATATTCCTAAGTTCCTTCAACAGAATGAAATACAATAAGACACACAATGCTAATGTTAGCAAACAAACTATGACACCAATCAACTTTAAATAAGGAGAGATTAGAATAAGTAATGTCATAAAAGATAAAAAAAAAGAGGAAGAACAAAAAGTGGATTCAGAGATAGAATTCCAGAGCATAGCATGTGGGAAGCTGAAGACAATGGCGAAAGAAACTAAATTTGGGGATGCATAATTAGTCAGAATTGGAGGTACACAGGACTCTCCGATGGCTGTAAAGTTAGGAGATTACAGCATTAAGGAAGGAGGCAGCCATGGATAAGAATGCTCACACTGACCTACATTTGACAAGTGTCTGAACACAGTGGTTCTGAACTAATGTCAGATTAAAAAAAAACTTGCCGCTTTTAGACAAGCAGGAATATCACAACATCTCATTCGACACATCACTGAGCTGTAAAAAATATAGCTGTCTAATTTGGCATCCCTTGAAGATCATGAACTGCAACTGTTGTGTTTTATAAAAACCATCTCACTTTTCGTAAAGAAAGTTATTTGGCAACTGTACACTTGTTAAAAATAAAAACAAATTTTAGCATTACTTCCATTATACCTCAAATTCATGTCTGCAAATTTTGACATCTTATTCTGAGCCCCAAGTCTAAATATATAATAAACTGTGAATGGCAGTGGTTTCAGCACTGAACCCTGTGAAACACCACTGCCCACCTTTTGCCAATCGGAATACTAAGCCACTGAATGCAGAGTCTCGTAAAAGAGTCAGGAATCAAAAATGAGAGGGTACAGATTTAATGCAATTGACAAAAGTGGCAAATGTGATGTGAGAAAAAGACCGTGGAATGCATTCCTTGGAAGAGACCGATTCAAGAGGGCACCGATGATTATCTAAATAGAAACAATCAGCTAAGGTACAGGGAAAAGGCAGGAGGATAATACAAAGTCATAAAATTCATTTGGAGAATCAGTGCAGACATTATGGCTGAATGGTCTCCTTGTGCATCACAACATACCTGTGATTCTGTGTTTTCTGTTTTTTTTTTAAGCAAAGTTGCTACTTATTCTGCTATCTATCCCCAAACTCCATTTGCTCGCATCTTAATAAAAGGAATATCTGATCATGAAGTCGTTTTGAAAATCCAAATGTTATTTCTTCAAATAATTCAGTAGCATTACTCAAACACCTTCCCTTCTGGAATCTGGGCTGACTATATCATATTTTCAATATATAGTTGTTCTTCTGTGATATTAAGCAAGGTTAAGGGATACGAGCACAAGGCAGATATATGGAGTTAGGCCACAATCAGTCATGATCTCACTGAATGGCAGAATAGGCTTGAGGGGATTAATGTTCTATCCTATGCCTATGTACCGTTAGATCTTTAAATAAGTGATTGATGCAAAAATAACTGGGTAAATGCTCCCTGGACTTATTTTATCATCCCTTTTAAATAACATTACCATCAGTCCTCCATTAAAGAGCCTCCAGAATCTTTTTTCAATAAAAATTCAATATCTACCATCTGCCATGGCAGAATTCAAACGTGGGTGTCAAACACTACCTGAATCTCTGGATTAACAGTCCAGTAATAATACCACGAGGCTGTTGCCTTCCCTGAGAGAGAATATCCATGATGTCTCCTTATTGACTCGTTTTTTTTCTAAGCAAAACCAGACTTTGCAGATCTATTCCAAGATTCACACAAGAATGCTCCAGTGGTATCAAGTTTGGTGGGTCATTTCAAAAATTGCAGGCAATTACTATCATCCTATTTGAAAAGAGCAAATGAGTAACCCTCCAGCAGAAATTCAACAAATGTTAAAATGCAACTAATTTACCTAAGAGACTGTGCAACAATGTTTTCACATATAGTCAGGCAGTGAGTTACACGGTCCTTTTTCGTTGTGGCAGATTCTTTCTTCCTAGAGAAAGCAGAAGTGAGAACAGTAATTAGCCACCTCCAATTGATGCATGCTTTGAAAGAGACAGAATTACTCCTCTTTCCAAAATGAGATTTTCCAAAACATTGCAGACCAGTAACCATTACTTCATGTTTTTCAAAGGTACTAGTAAAGTACTCAGAGTACTGTTTAGAGGATCAAGGAATGGCGTGTGACCAAACACCATTCAATTCATCAGCTCTGTGCTACAGCTCTTTGAAAGAGCTGTAACAATCAGTCCTAATCCCCAACTATTTCTTGGCATTTACAGGTTTCCCTTCATTCAAAAACTTCCCACTTTAAAGTTTTTTGTATTCATTTATACTGGTTACCGAGTTGATCAGAGCACTGTCAGGATGTGCAATGCTGGAGATGGTGTCTGAAGCTGTAATCATGTCAACATTTAAGTATAGGTTAGGCAGGTGTTCAGAAGGAAAGCATGTTAAATAGATAAGTTAAGGATAAATGAATTGTCAGCCAAAGACTACTTCCATGTCATAATTTCTATTTAATGACCTGATTTACATGCTTAAACTCTCTGGCAACTTAGAAGAAAACATTGTTCAAAGACACATATACAATATGTTGCTATGGAAATACAGGCAAAATCAAATCAAACAAATCATTGGGCAAAGTCCAGAACAAGGGGACATATCTTAAAATTAAAGTTAGGCCGTTCAGGAGGGATGTCAGGAAGCAACTGTTCACAAAATATTTGCCCCACAAGACTCCCCCGTCCCACTACCAGCCCACCCAATGACTGTTTCCTCAAAAACAGAATCAAATATAAACCTGATCAACAGTTCAAGCAGGCAGTGGTGGCTCATTATCAACTTTAAGGGCATAAATTGGCAATAATGCTGACCTTGCCAGTGGCACTTCCATTCCAATAATGGATGGAAAGGAGTAGCAATACAGACTAATTACCCCAACCTGTACCTGGGTAGGTAGAAGCAGGTTGATTCCAGTAGTTAAGGGGTTAGAACAAGAGGCCACAAATACAAGAGCAATTGAAACGCTATACACAAACTTAGAGGGCTGCACAACTTAGTTACAAGGTTAGTAGTCAAGGCAGAAACTATCTGAGCATTGAAGATTCAACTGAATAGGTGAATGAAATAAACCAGAAAAAAAAAGGAAACAAGAACAAAGTGGGAATGTGAGCCATGGGATTTTGTTTACAAAAGAAGATAAACGTCAACACTAATAGGGACGACATGCGATGAGGCAGGAAGCTACGTAATTGAACTGATTGCTCAGAGGTATAGACATTTGACTCTTGGCTATTCATGTCCCCAACAACGGAAATGAGGAGGGCTGCTTTCTTGGCCATTTAATGGACTCTCTTATACTGACCTTCCTCTCCCACCCTTCCCCAAACAAGCAGACGTGTGCCTGCACACACAGCAGCAATGCACGAGAGGATTTATCAATATTGCAAAGGTTGCATCACAGTACCATCCAGCTGTGTTTTTATTTTAATTCACAGTCTTACTTTCTTCTCTGCAGGACACCTATTTGGGGAGATGCACAAAAGGACTTGATTAGCCTCCAATCCCTTAAACAAGTGGCTTTATTTCAGGTGGAAAACTTAACAGCAAGTGGTTGCAGAGTACTTGTTCATACGGGGTGTCACATCCACAATGCTCAATCTCTCTCTCATGCATGTGTGCACTCACTCACACAAAGACATATCATGGATCACTGGATAATGCTTGAAAGCAAGAAAAAGTTTTCCCTGCTGTCTCATTGAAACCACTGAACTGTGAATGCATTAGCAACCAAGTCTCAGTGACAGATTGTTTATTGCTTATTTCCAAGCCTTGGATAATTCACCTGGTAAGCAGATGGCCAGCAAATTCACAGCATTAGAGTTGCTCAGGATCCTAGCCAGCATTTATTCCCCCCACATAACCAAGAACCTGAAAACAGATGTCATTACAGTCCATAGAAACTTCATACGCACAAGTCAACTGTTGTGTTTCTCATGTTACAACAGTGGACGCATCTAAATTACTTAATTTGCGGTATTTTTCAAGAGTACAATTCTAAAAGTGATGGAGGAGCACAAGGACACGGGTGTGCATACACACTGAAGGTGGCAGAACAGGTTCAGAGAGCAATTCATCAAGCATAAGGCATCTATATCCCATCAGAAGATGGAAATTCTGCAGTGAGCAACTTGCCTCCTCACTCTCCAAAGCCTGTTCACCATGAACAAGATATTAGTTGGGTGAATGATGGAATACACTCCATTTGCCCGGATGAGTGTAGCTCTAGTATCACTCAAGACATTTGAAACCATCCAGAATAAAGCAAAAGGCTCACCTACTGAGGTGAGCACCGAGTTAATGTTTTGGGTCTGGTGACCCTTCCTCAGAACTGTTCTGAGGAAGGGTCACCGGACCCAAAACATTAACTCTGTTTTCTCCTCCACAGATGCTGCCAGACCTACTGAGCTTTCCCAGCAACTTTTTGTTCCTGAATTACAGCATCCACAGTCATTTTGGTTTTTTTTTCACCTACTGAGGTAACAGGGGTAGAGCTCAAAAATAAGATGGGTTCAATCATTCTAATAGGATTATACTATTGAACTCACAATAGCCACCTAAACATTGAGGAACAAATACATAGGCACATTATGGAAAGATGTAATAACAATAGGGTTGCCATAGTGGGCGACTTTAACTTCCCCAATATTGACTGGGACTCACTTAGTGTTGGATGGGGTAGAATTTGTCAAGTGCATCCAAGACGGCTTCTGGAAACAGTATGTGGATAGACAAACCAGAGGGACCATACTTGTTCTTGTATTGGCTAATGAGCATGGCCAGGTGACTGACCTTTCAGTGGGAGAGCATTTTGGAAACAGTGAACACAACTCCTTAAGTTTTAAGATAGCTATGAATAAGGATAAGTCAGGACCTTGTGGTAAGGTACTAAATTGGGGGAGGCAAATTACATCAGTATCAGGCAGGGGCTAGTGAGCGTTATTGTGCAAGCCCACATGTGACATGTGGGAATTGTTCAAAGACCTGCTGATCAGAGTTCAGGACCGGCATGTTCCAGTATGGGCAAAGGACAAGGATGGCAAGGCAAGGGACCCTGGGATAACAAGGGAGATTGTGAATTTAGTCAAAAGGCGAAAAAGCAGCATATGTAAGGTTTAGGAAGTTAAAAATTGGACAGGGCCATGAGGAATGTAAAGAAAGCAGGAAAGAACTCAAGCAGAGAATTAGGAGTGCAAGAAGGGGCTATGAAATGTCCTTGGCAACTAGGGTTAAAGAGAATCTCAAGACATTCTATACATAAATTAAAAATAAGAGGATACCTGGGGAGAAGGTAGTACCACTCAAGGATAAAGGAGGGAACTTGTGCTTGGAGGCAGAGGATATGGGTGAGATTCCAAATGAGTACTTTGAGCTGGTATTCACTCAGAAGGATTGGGAGGACAGTGAGATTTGTGCGGAGCATGCTAAAATGCTGGGGCATTTTGAGATCAAGGAGGAAGTGGCGTTGGGTCTCTTGAAGAGCATTAAGGTGCATAAGTCCCCAATGGTGTCTACCCCAGGTTTTGAAAGAGGCAAGATAGGAGATTGCTGGGGCCTTGACCAAAATCTTTGTATCCTCATTAGCCACTGCAAAGGTTCCAGAGGACTGGTGAGTAACTAATGTTGTTTCTCTATTCAAGAAAGGAAATAGGGATAATCCAGGAAGCTAGTACAAAAGGTGAAGTCACATGGTATCGGGGGAGCTGGCAAGATGGATACAGAACTGACTTAGTCATATGAGACAGTGGGTAACAGTGGAAGGATGCTTTTCAGAATGGAGGGTTGGGACTAGTGGTGTTCCACAGGGATCAGTGATGGGACATCCGATTTTCATGGTCTACATAAACGATTTGGAGGAAAACGTGGCTGGTCTAATTAGTAAGTTTGTAGACAATACATAGATTGGTGAAGTCGTGGATAACGAGGATTGTCAGAGGATACAGATCAGTTGGAGGCAAGAGTGGAAAAACGGTCGATGGAGTTTAATCTGGACAAATGTAAGGTGATACATTTTGGAAGGTCACGTACGGGTGGAAATTATACAGTGAATGGCAGAACCCTTAGGAATATTGACATGCAGAGGGATCTGGGTGCGGAGGTCCACACATCACTGAAGGCAGCAAAGTTGGTAGATAAGGTGGTAAAAAAGGCCTATGGCATGCTTGCCTTCATTGGAAGGGCACTGGGTATAGGATAGGCAAATTACCTCGCAGCTTTACAGGACTTTAGTTAGGGCACACTTGGAACATTGCATACAGTTCTGGTCACCACACTACCAGAAGGATGTGGATGCTTTGGAGAGGGTACAGAAAAGATTTACCAGGATGTTGCCTGGTATGGGTGATTACAGCTATGAAAAAAATTACTAGGGACACAGGTTCATGGTGTGGGGGGAGTTTAAAGGAGATATGCGAGGCACATTGTTCACACAAAAGGATGATGAGTGCTTGGAGGTGGTGGTGGAAGCAGACAACAGCAGCATTCAACAAAACACCTGGACAGATGCATGAATAGGAAGGGCGTAAAGGGATACGGATCCTGTAAGTGAAGACAGTTTTAGTAGGGAAGGGCAAAATGTGTCAGTGCAGGCTTGGAGGGCCAAAGGGCCTGTTCCTGTGCTGTACTGTTCTTTGTTTTATTGACCAGTGAGTCTCACATCAGTGGCTGGGAAGCTATTGGAGAGAATTCTTAGGGATAGGATTTATGCACATTTGTAAAAGCATGGCCTGATTAGGGACACAGTCAGCATGGCAGGTCATGTCTTACTAACTTGATTGAATTTTTTCGAAAAGGTCATCAATGAGGGCAGAGTAGTGGATGTTGTCTACACGGATTTTAGTAAGGCTTTCGACAAGGTCCCTCATGGTAATCTCATCCAGAAAATTAAAGATGCATGGGATCCATAAAGACTTGGCCATGCGGATTCAGAAT